TGATACTACGTCTTCTTCACAATATAATGTTGATGTTACATTCCGCATTCAGCGCAAATATTTCAACTATAAGGGTGATAAAATCGGAAACTGATTTATTTATTCCTCAATCCACTCAAAAGGGTAGGAATTTGTGAATTAAATGACTGCGGATGAGAACTATTAGTGGAAACGATGTTTTAAGTGATTCAATGGTGTTATAAATCTTTGTTATCCTCTTAAGAGCCTTAAGATATTTTTGTAATCAGCTAGGTTAAACTGTCGTAAAAATCTATCAAAAATTTCGTCATGTGACTCATCAGCTTATTGTGTAAATTGTTTGGAAAACAAACTTTAATCAGATTAGGCTTTATGGTAGAAAACTTTTGCCTGCTTTATTTGGCAAATCGAAATAACTCTTTGGCACGTAACGTGTCAAACTGTCAAATGAAATGTCATTAGCTGAAGCATAAACGAACGAAGCTATTTTTCTTATATATCTATGAGTGCGAACTGCGAAGACCGAAGTAGGGGTATCCACTTTGAAAATACATCGATGTTTTTTTTTTCGTTGTAATGGATAGAAACTGTGCATCGATATATTCCGATGCATCGGTTAGGCACATTGATGTTTTTACAAAATAGAGTACTTTTCTGATTTTACATTACAAATCTGTAGTCAAGTCTCGTCACACTTATTTAGCTGTCACGTTATTCGTTTATTGGAACTACATTCTTAGCTTTATGCATTGTTTATTGGAACTGCTATAAAAATAAAATAATCTCGTAAGGATTGCGTTTGTACTTACGTGTTCAAATTTAAACCTAATTTGTCACATTCGAAGGTTGAAATTGAAAAAAAAAATAGTCTTTTGGGTAGTGCGGTTGTCACATTGCGATTATCATACGATTTTTATGCAATATTATGTACACGATTACCTAATGAAAATAGTATGTATCATAATAAAAATACTTATTATGGAATATAACGCCATCTTTTTGTAACTTTTAAGTATTTGACTCGTTTACCACACAGTTCAGCATTAATAAAATAACACCAACTTTAGCGGAATCGCTTCTTGTAATGATAAAATCGATTCCGTAAATAGTTTTTATAAACACACAAGATTTTTAAATCCAGAGGCAGAGGAGAATAATGATGCGAGGCGAGTCCATTGGGTTAAATGGTCTTAGACCGAGACAGACCAGATAATTTTTTTTAATTATCTTTAGCGCAATGTTGCTAACCCGCCAATCTAAATTTTTTTCATTCCGCTTAATGGACTGACAGTTGCTAACTAGCGCCACCAACAGGTTTAATATTATAACTTCAAGTCAGAGCATGTTTTAGTTTTTCTGATTTAGAAGTTATAATATTAATAGTCATAGGTAAGTATACTTTTTTAACATTGGTTGGTTAACAATGATTCGATGTTTTATAAAAATACATCGATACATCGAGTATATCAATAACTTTCCAAAACATCAGATCAATTCGATGCATCGTATTGTAAACATCGAGTGAATTGGATTCATAGAAGTATTGCGAATATTGGTTCATTAGGGATGAGCAAGGGAAAAAATATATCAATATATATCAAATCGATATTTTTAGCAGTATCGGTATATATCGCAGGATAAATCGATATATCGTCATTATTTGCATGATGTAAAGATAAGGTCCAAAATTTTATATTACCGACTCTCCTCCTACTCCTTTTGTTGTTACATGTTTTGTCATTTATACAACATTTTAAAATATATCGAAATTGTTGCGAATTCAATACTCTAAAATAAATATCGATAAATCGCGATTTAATATATCGACGATATGTATCGAGATTTTTTTTTAAAATATCGATATTTTGATATATCCATATATCGATATTTTTTGTCCAAGCCTAAAGTTCATTCGGGAACTTTTTTTAATAACTGGCTTTACGGCTCTCGGTTTTTGCCCTTCTGAGCTCGAAGTTACAATGTATAATAAAATCTTTTTAATAAATTATAATTAATCACTGCTTCACAATATGTTGATGCATCACATTGTGCAGCCCTTGGAAGATTTTAACGGCAACTTGAACCAGCAGCCAGCTGTCAGTTGGCGATGGTATCTCAAGGCGTCTAAGCAGACAGACACCTTATCTTGAGAATCACATCACCATTAGAGCACTTGTTTCACCGTTTCCACTAGTAGTTCACATGCGTAGACATTTAATACATAAAATCGCACCACTTTTACATATCAAAATCCATTTCAAACCATTATTTATACAATAATACAGGAGCAGCAATCCGTCGCCGGTCAAGTTCCCGCCAAAACTCATTTCATGTACTATCTCCACTTACACCATAGATAAATAAATATGTAGCAAGCTAACTTACAACTTCAAACCATTATTTATACAATAATACAGGAGCATTAATCCGTCGCCGGTCAAGTTCCCGCCAAAACGCATTTCATGTAATATCTCCACCATGAAGCAAATACAAATTAAATTAAAATAAAAAAATTATATTTGCTTCGTGATCTCCACTTACACGATAGATAAATAAATATGTAGCAAGCTAACTTACACTAATACGAGTATAGTAGTTTGCTACTTCCTTATATTATATTACTATACCATGGGGGTGCAACTTAGAACATTATTTTACGAACAAAATGATACGTTTTATGTGCTTCCATCTACATTCCGAAGCGCTAGGCTAGACTTATTTTAATCTCACTAGAGAACACTTATATATTAAGTCTATGCATACGCAATAATCCACGCGCACTACGCAATTAGTAGCGGTCACTGGTTACGCTTAAATTGTTATTAATATATATTGAACATTATTAATTTTTAGAAAATGCCATTTTATCTGTGTTTTTAGACAGTGAATAACTGGTAAATTTCGCCACAAGGCACAAGGTTATAATAGCTCAGGTGAATAATCGGGCGGTCCCGAAATCTAAAGACCCCGGATCGCGTCCAGCAGATGTGTTTATTTTTTCCCTTTTTTTCAAGTTCCTTCTTTTGTAAGCGCTGTCTGTTATGCATAGTACGACACTAAAGAAAATTAAATTTGAGTCGCGCATCTATCTCTAGTATATTTACAGTAATCTATGTTACTATACCAATACTATATCTATGTGTATCGAGTACAGTATCATAGATAAATATATATGTAGCAAGCTATATAGTAACTCCTCTACATCTTGTACATCAACGACATTCCAATCCCGTCGAATGGTGTACAGCTCTCCCTCTTCGCAGATGACACTGCCCTATACTTTAAAGGTCACACACTACCTTTCGTAAGGAACAAGATCCAAAAGTCAGTCGATGACCTAGGAGCTTGGTTCCAAAAATGGCGCATCGATGTGAACCCGGATAAGAGCTCCGCAGTTCAATTCGATTTTAAACGACGCCGTACCAAAATCAATAAAAATATTCCACCAATACGTATGTTAGGGACCACAGTCCCCTGGCATACGTCTGCTAAATATTTAGGTGTCACCCTTGACACAAGGCTTACTTTCGAGCCTCATGTCAAAAGAGTAACCCGTCTAGCACGTTTCTATCTATGTAGGCTTAACAGTATGTTAGGTCGACATAGTAAAATGTCTCTAAGAAATATATTATACAGATTTTTTACATTATCAGTACAGATAACGCGTAGTGTTTCTATATAGTTTGTGCTACAGATTTGTTAAACTGACATGTGGCAGCACTGGTTTGTGGTAATGTTCACTTCAGTAGACATGGGCAATGTGTATCACTTAAAAGAAAAGATTGATATGTATCTTTTGATCACTAGGATATGTATCACTCTTTTATATCTTTATATCCTTATGTATCAGTAGATCAAGCTCGCGTTCACGACACGCATCGCATTACATTGCGTTGCTCACTCAGCGTGGCTCGCTTCGCTCAACTCAATCCTATCAGTAAGAGTGATAGATACCTATCAATCTATATATAAGACCTATAAAACTGTTTGCATTTTGCTTGGTCGTAACTTTGTGTATCTTTCTGATATATTTGGCTGCTGTTTCTTTCTAGGTATCTATTTGTTATGATCAAAAAATTAAAGTTTTCTTATTAGACATGCAGGTTTCCTCACGATGTTTTCCTTCATCGCCGAACACGTGGTAAATCAGCACTTAAAATTGCAATTAACAATTTCATTGGTGCCGGCGGGGATCGAACCCGGGTTGCTCGCGTACTGTGAAACTTACAGCGAGCGCTATTATTATTATGATTGATAAATATTAATAGGCACTTATTCGAAATTTTTACTTAAATTTTTAGTTTAAAATAATAATTAAATAAATGATTAACGTAAATAACATAAGTAGAGTATTTTTAATAATTTTAAACTTATATACCTACGGATTTATTCGGAACCCTGGGTGCGCGAGTCCGACTTGGACTTGGCCGTTTTTTTATGGATATAAACGACTACTACTTCGGTTATAAAACTTTCTTAAAAACGATGGTTTTATAACCGAAATTAGTTTGCATTGTTTACTAAAAAATTCATAAGCAAAGTACACATAGGTACAGTTTAAATCAGTATAATACTTAAATGTTAACGTACCGCTTAATGACTTTAAGCCCTATGCACCAGTCATAGAGGTATCAATTTACCTTTTTGTGCCAACGTATTACAGTTTATAATGATCAAACAACTCACTCTCTCCGTCTTGCCAAAGCGCGACAGAACATTCTAAATAGTGAGCTGCGAAAGAAACGTCTGTACTATGGACTTCGAAATCTTCCTGGAATGGCCGGCCACGCCGGCCGAGGTGTAATAGAAAGCAGTGTGCGCAATGTCCGAAACAGATGTTAGATATAAAAAGTTAAAAGACGCCTTGAGTGAATAAGTTGTAAAGATACACTGATACAGTGATACATTCGGATGCGGATGGATATAAAGAGTGATTGATGGAAACGGATTGATTCATATCTTTTGTATCTATCTTTCCTGAGTTACCCATCTCTACACTTCAGTGGATTAGATTAATCTTTGTCGCTCGTAGCGTAGTGTTTCTACATAGTTTGTGATCTTTGTGTATTTGTTTTATATATACCGTTATTCATTTAATATCTTGTATTCTTTTTAATTTAAGCGTGTATTTAATCCTAACCATGTATTTTCTATGTGTAGTAGTAGTTTTAACGATAAGTTCTATTACAAGTTCTAATTCATCGTTATTTGAAAGCGACTCCTGTTATTCTTTCGGAAGCGGTAATGTTTTTCCAGGCGGCGCTAGAAAAATTGATCATAAATTACAATTTACAAAAGCAATGAGTATGTATTGAACCTGTTGTAATAATTATACTTTACACTCAATTAAATCTTTTGTCCTTTTTCTTTCATAGTATCAAAACCGGCACCAGAGTGGGAGGCAACAGCAGTTGTAAATGGAGAATTTACTCAGCTCTCTTTGTCCAGTTTCAAAGGAAAATACTTAGTTTTTTTCTTTTACCCTTTAGACTTGTAAGTATCCTACTAACTTCTTAAAATTTTAATACAGTTGACCCTCGGTAATCCGACAAACATTTTGCAGGGCAGTGTCGGACTATAGAATTTGTCGGATTATAAAGTACTGCCTAAGACCCCCTATCTCACCTTCGATTTGCCGATGATATAGTCCTTATGGCAGAATCGCTGGAGGACCTAAGCACTATGCTCAATGACCTCAAAAGTGTTTCCCAACGGATAGGTCTTAAGATTAACATGGACAAAACAAAGATCATGTTTAATGTCCATGTCACACCTATGCCGGTAGTTGTTGGGAACACTAAGCTCGAAGTTGTTGACGAGTATGTTTACCTGGGGCAAATAGTCCGACTAGGTAAGTCCAACTTCGACCGAGAGGTCAATCGACGGATTCAACTCGGCTGGGCAGCATTCGGGAAGCTACGACACATTTTCTCGTCAGACATACCTCAAAACCTTAAAACGAAATTGTACAACCAGTGCGTGTTGCCAGTGATGACTTACGGAACTGAGACGTGGTCCTTCACAGCTGGCCGTATGAGGAAGCTCAAGGTCGCTCAGCGAGCTATGGAGAGGGCTATGCTCGGGGTTTCTCTGCGTGATAAACTTAGAAATGAGGATATCCGCAGTAGAACTAGAGTAACCGACATAGCCCAACAGATTAGTAAACTGAGGTGGCAGTGGGCCAGCCATATAGCTCGAAGAACCGACAACCGATGGGGAAGAAAGGTTCTCGAGTGGCAGCCTTGTACCGGTAGGCGAAGTGCAGGGCGACCCCCCACGAGATGGAGTGACGACCTGGTAAAGCATGCAGGAAGTCGATGGATGCAGGTGGCTCAGGACCGTGCTTTGTGGCATTCCTTGGGGGAGGCCTATGTTCAGCACTGGACTTATGAAAGGCTGTAATGATGATGATGATGATGATGAAGACCCCCTATAGTCCGGAATTTTTTATAAAAGAGTACCTTGTAATCTGACAAATTCCAGATCCAATGATAAGATTCTATATGTTATATAATATATGTACATACTCTGAAGTACAAATTATACTACATTATGTATGTCAAATTTAGTAAATTAAACAACACATAAGGGAGCTTACATTTTATTATAAAATTAACGTCATTAATGCTATAGAACTTACAAAAAATATGCAATAACTTTACATTATGAAATAATTGTGTACAAACAAATGTACATACTAAAATAATCAAAACTTATGAATCAAGTTATAACTTGTTCAATCATGCATTTGCAAAGATTGTCAAAAAAATATCTAATAATAAATAATAGACCATGTTGGATTACAGGGGGTGCCGGATTACCGGGGGTCCACTGTATTGTCTTAAATATTTTTTTATTACATGACTCCTTATATTTTAGCACCTTTGTTTGTCCAACTGAAATATTAGCATTTTCCGAAAGAATTGAAGAGTTTAAGAAAATTAATACAGAAGTAGTGGCCTGTTCTGTTGACTCTCATTTTACACATTTAGCTTGGATAAACACACCACGCAAAGAAGGTGGTCTGGGAAAAATTAACATACCACTCTTAAGTGATTTAACACATTCCATAGCTAAAGATTACGGTGTCTATTTGGAAGATTTAGGTCATACCTTGAGAGGATTATTTATAATTGACGATAAAGGTATTTTAAGACAAATTACTATGAATGATTTGCCAGTTGGCAGATCAGTAGATGAAACTTTAAGACTAGTTCAAGCATTTCAATATACTGACAACCATGGAGAAGTATGCCCAGCTGGATGGAAACCTGGTCAAGATACTGTAAGTTTACCAGTTAAATAATTTATATTATATATATTTATTGTTCAATTCACATATTTTTTTATTATACAATGATATTTATTTTCAGATAATTCCCAATCCATCAGAAAAGAAAAAATATTTTGAAAAAGTAGCAAAAAATTAAAACAAATTAGGTAAATTACAAAGATTTGCTCAATTTCTTAAGCTGAAATCAAATTTGTTATCACATTTTTCAAGGTTTTTGATAACTAAATCACAAAATAATCACATACCAGTGTCATAAGATTAGCCTTAGTAATATAATAGACTGTAAGAAGTTATTATTAATTTTATATATATACTCATTTTATATTTTATATGTACATTGTTAAAAATTAATGTATCTGTCTATAATTAATTGGGAAATTTGTAGTAGTTTACTAATGATATAATTTAAATTAAAGTTTTTAAATGTACTTTTTACCTATATTCTTTTATAAATGTTTACTTGCTTTGTACATTTTTATTGTCACTTTATGTTGATTATTAAGACTGATACAAAATTTAAATTATTCTTATTGTTATTCCATATATTAAAGAATATTTTTATAATATATATTGTTTTAATTTGGAACATAACCGATGGAGAAATAAGAGGCCTTTTCCCAATAGTGACAGTATGATATGAGGCTGACATAATATGATAATAATAATGTATTTTAATTGATGATTATAAAAATGTTTAAATGTAGCAAATTATAATCGACATCATATTATAAAGAGTGATGTTCAGTGTTTATCACGCAGAGAAACTCCGAGCATAGCCCTCTCCATAGCTCGCTGAGCGACCTTGAGCTTCCTCATCCGGCCAGCAGTGAAGGACCACGTCTCAGTTCCGTATGTCATCACTGGCAACACGCACTGGGTGTTCAGTCTCGTTTTCAAGTTTTGAGGTATACCTGACGAGAAGATGTGCCGTAATTTCCCGAACGCTGCCCAACCGAGTTGAATCCGTCGATTGACCTCTCGGTCGAAGTTGGACTTACCTAGTCGGACTATTTGTCCCAGGTAAACATACTCGTCAACAACTTCGAGCTTAGTGTTCCCAACAACTACCGGCATAGGTGTGACATGGACATTAAACATGATCTTTGTTTTGTCCATGTTCATCTTAAGACCTATCCGTTGGGAAACACTATTGAGGTCATTGAGCATAGTGCTTAGGTCCTCCAGCGATTCTGCCATAAGGACTATATCGATATACTATATTTGTGATAAACTCAGAAATGAGGATATCCGCAGTAGAACTAGAGTGACCGACATAGCCCAACGGATTAGTAAGCTGAAGTGGCAATGGGCCGGCCATATAGCTCGAAGAACCGACAACCGATGGGGAAGAAAGGTTCTCGAGTGGCAGCCTCGTACCGGCAGGCGAAGTGTAGGGCGTCCCCCCACTAGATGGAGTGACGACCTGGTAAGATATGCAGGAAGTCGATGGATGCAGGTGGCTCAGGACCGTGCTTTGTGGCATTCTTTGGGGGAGGCCTATGTTCAGCAGTGGACTTGTGAAGGGCTGTAATGATGATGATGATGATGATGTTCAGTGACTCGCTGCCATACCAACACATTCGAAGTAGGCTCGCCAAGCGACCAACTCACGGCTACTAAGCCCCTCCGCTACGACAAGGTCATTCGAGCCCAAGGAGCAAGAACCCTGCAGGGCTGCGAGAAAAAAAACGCATGCGTGCAATTTTACATGCGGTAGAAGCCGTAGAAGTGAAACATTCAAATGAAATCTTACTAATATTATAAACGTAAAAGCTTGTGAGGATGTATGGATGTATAGATGTTTGTTAATCTTCCACGCAAAAACTACTGAATGTATTTTAATGAATAGCTCGTACATTAGAACTACACATAGGCTATAATTATTAAAGATATTGTATAAATTGGTCAAAATATAACGATAAGTGTTAAGTAAGTCGGAAAAATATCCGTCATCTGCGAGCTATTTTGGCGTGCGGTGCAAAAACTGTAAGTTACAAAAATATAATGTAAGGTTTTGTTTTTGCGCCCAGATGCAATGTAAAGGGCTACCAGCCGGCTGTCGTGGTTATGTAGGACTCACTGCGGCTAACCTAACCTAATGCTGGGTTTCCATGCTTGCCAAGCCTCTGCAAACGTCTTCAAGCCCCAAGCGTCCACAAATCTCGTTTGGCGTTTGGAAGTCGTTTTCATGCTTGTGAATGCGTCAGTGTGCTAACAGTGCTACGTAAATCCAAGCATGGCGGATACCGAACTTGTGTCAGCTATTGCGTTTGGTGGCTTTTATTTGAAATACAAGCAAAGTAATACAAAAACAAGGAATTTTTGGCTTTTAATTCTTATAATGGCTTTCCCCTTAACTCGGCAAGACGACTCCAAGCATTTGCAACTTTCTTTTTATTTTTATGATTAACGTCTTTGAGCGCACCAACGACGTGTGAATGCGTTGCAAGCGCTTGCCGGCTTGCCGCAAGCGCCCTTTGATCTGTGTCCAAAAACCGACACTAGCCCGGATCGGGGACAAGCGTCCACAAGCTCACGCAAGACAAGCCAAACGCCCTCTTTACACACTTGAGCTTGTGGATGCTTGCCGAGACTTGGCAAGCGTGGAAACCCGGCATAAGTGCCTACCTACTAAACACCACCTGTGAGACTGGCATTGGCTTTTGTGGCCTTTTAATGTATGGTGGAATTGTTTCTCTTATAAAAAAACATAAAAAAAATCATGAAAATACTGAAACATAAAACCAGCAGTGGAAACTGAATTGATATCACCTGACTAATGGAGGTTAATGTACGCGCGAACGGTGAAAAAAGAACGCTGGCCTTGATCTTGGGCACTGAGCGATTTATCACATATAGGTACAAAGGGGCGCGACGGGGAAACAATCCGCCAGTATTACTGTGCCTGCATGCTATTGGTTCCCGCGCTTTGTTCGCTCCAAAAATACAGTCGCATACCCAGCTTACTTTGCGACTCGCGACGATGTTTTAAAAAGGAAGGAAACAAAAATTATTTATATCTATTGTTTTAGTCATAAAACTAGTGAACGAAAAGGTAAATATGATAGGAGAAGGTGAATGGGGAAAATTGTGCAGTAAAGTGTTGAGGGAGAATACCGAAAAAATTACCATGTGATCGACCTGATGACGGAAGCTCAAGCGAAGATGAAAGTGATGATGAAGTAGCATCCAGTAACACCAACACACCATCAACATCTGACTTTCATGTGACCCAAGACGTCATAATGGACGGCGTGTCACCCTTAGCTTAAGTTTTTTTGTTACAAACTACTTTATATTTTAAGATAGAAATAACAAATAATGCTCAAGTAAACATTATCCATTTTTAATTCCCACCTCTTCCAAAGTTCTCAGTAAATAGTAAAACACCTATTATGATTCTACAATTAAACAATTAATTACTATAATCATAGAAGTAATAGGCTTAGAACCGCAGTAGGCGCACGCAAAGTGAAGCCATTTCAAGTTAGCCTTTAAAGGCTAAGTACGACTTTTGGCGCGTTAGTACTCGAGTCCACGTAGTCTTGTAAACAGCTCGCACAATTTTTAAAAAAAATGACGTACTGTACTATGAAAGGGTGTCACAACTTCTCACATAATCACGAAAAAAATGTAAAAAATCTCATTTCACGGTTAAGTACTGCCTAGCATCTTATATTTTTGTAAAAAACATTTATCAAAATTAAATAATCTAAACATATAATAAAACTGTAAATAGCAGATGTCTGTACATTTTATATTTTTGTAATAAAAGTGATTAAGGGGTACTAAAAATAAGTAATTAAATACATTTCTACCATTTTTAGAATTTTCTGTCTGTCTGTCTGTCTGTCTGTCTGTTTGTTTGTTAACGTATCACGTATAAAGTACTAATTTATATCATAAGAATTGTTAAGGAAATTATAAAGTGTATCTTCGGGTTACATTTAGTCTTTATTTCATTAAAATCAGTTCATTCCATCAAAAGTTATGATAAATATTCTGAAGTATGGGTAGGGAAGTATAGGTACGAATTTGCTCAACGGTGGCTTTGTTTGAGTCATCAAGTGCATTTTAAACTAATATCATATCATAAATCATAGTTAAATTATGTAAAATAATGATATAATTATGTATATCTAAAACGCAGTAAACAAAAGTAATAAAGAACGTATTAAATAAATTATACAAAAATATATTAACCTTATTAACTAAATCTGAAGCACAATAGTTAACACATTTCTTCGATAGATGGTGGTGTTGTGAAAATGTAAAGCAATTGCAAATGTGGTATTTTCCTGTAGATGAGTTTTCATATTTACTGCTAATCTTTATTATATTACTCGCTGCCCTACTGCGTGTTGACAAACTCAATTTATTCTTTACCGCCGAGTACTCTATGTGGTAAATCAAATTTTAAAAGAGCTATTAACAATTGCATTGGTTTTGGCGAGAGTCAAACTTTATTTTTTGCTTACTGTGCAGGCACTGATTTATAAGTTCTCTTACGTTTTATATAATGTATCAATCGCGTCAATTAATCTCTTTTATTTTTAGAATTGATGATGTTAGCAGCGCCATCTCTCTTTAAATATAAACATATAATAAAAATGATGATAACATGTTGTGTCTCTTTCTGTACATTGTATATTATATATTTTGGTGGCTAAAATCATTATGGGGAACTGAAAATAATTAAATTAGAACATTTTATAATTTTTAGAATTGTCTGTCTGTCTATTTGTCGCATGAACGCATCACGTCTAAAGTAAACATCTTTTATTTTCAAACAAATCGTTAAGAATATCATAAAGCGTATCTTCGAGTTACATTTAATCTTTGTTTTATTAAAATTGGTTAATTCTATCGAAAGTAATTTTTGAAAACATTAATTTTGAAATGTAGGTTCGAATTTGTTCAATGGCGCCATAAAATCTCAGAAATAGTAATAAAAAGATTTCTGTGTAAAAAAAAAACGTTCCATAATAATTAATATATTTATACTTAAAACACAAAAAGAGATAGGATGTTTTCTCACACAAAGGACGTAATAGATGGAGTTGTACAAATTACAAACTTTTCTGAATTGCGGTGTTGAGATTTTTCGCCGATGAATCGTATTGAGACTTACTGAAG